AAAAAAAAAAAAAAAAGAACAGAGGGAACAATGGTCCAAGAGGAACTTAAAGGGCAGTGGTAGCAGAGTGAATTTAAACTTCTCCCAAGAATTATTCTAAGGCTCTTGAGGCTAAGGACTATCTATTTATTATATTACTATTGTTTTTTTTTTTCCACCTAATTCTGGATAAAATTTTAAGGCAGTTGAGTACTTCTAGAGTCCACACCCTGTTTCCTGTCATGCTACATGCTCACAAGTACTGGTAAGGACAATAATCCAACTGCTGGCTCAAATACAGAGCTCTTACATGAGTAGATAGGTGAGTTAGGGAAAAGTTTAGATGTCATGTCAAAAATGATGTCGCTTTTCTAATTTTTTTTAATGTTTATTTTTGAGAAAGAGAGGGAAAGATAGAGCATAAGATGGGGAGGGGCAGAGAGAGAGGGAGACACAGAATCTGAAGCTGGCTACAGGCTCTGAGTTGTCAATGTGGGGCTCAAACCCACATGAGATCATGACCTGAGCCAAAGTTGGATGCTTAACTGACTGAACCACCCAGGCATCCCTGGTGTCACTTTTCTAGACGGAAGTGCTCCCAGCAGTTGTATATTTCCATGCTGCTCAGCAATCCAAAATAATCGAGTTTCACCCTCACTATTCCACTGAATACATTCTTACTGAGGTCAAAAATCACCAACTGCCTATTTTTCAAATCTAAAAAAAAAATGTTTATAGTCTTATCACCCTTGTCTCCCATGTATCCTTTGACAATACTGTTCTCTCCTTTCTTCTTTGCCTTATAGGACACACTTCAAGTTTAGTTCTTTTCCTACTAATTTCCTAGAGCTATCATACTGAGCATACTGAAGTAGGCACCATGCTAATTATTTGCCCACATTTGACTCTCCAGTAACATAGCGAGAGAGGCATTTCATTCTCTCTGTTATGGAAGAATGTGAGACTCAGAAAAGTTAAATAACTTAAGGTCACACTACTAAGAAAAGACAGGGTCAGGATTCAAACCTTGGCCTCAGTTATTTTAATACACAACTCCTAACCAATGTTACGCTGTCTCCCTCATTTGCTCCTCCCAATCTCTTTACCCACCTCTACCACCTCGGACATCCTGACACCATTTTTTTTTAAGTAATCTCTATACCTAATGTGGGGCTCAAACTCATGACCACGAGATCAAGAGTCATTTGGCTCTTCCAAATGAGCTAGCCAGGCACCCCCAACATTCATTATTTCTACAACATGGATTATTTCTCTCAGTTCCACTCACATTTCCTAGGAGACTGACTGTAACATTCTCAAACTGAAATCATTACCTCCTCCCAGTAGAACCAACAAACTTTCTCTTCCCATTTCTATCAATTAATAATAGTACTATACATGTAATCTTCTGAGTCAGTCATAAATATAGGAGTCATTTTCCATTGCTCTCTATCCAATTGATTACCAGGTTACTTATCCCATCTCTTATGTATTCCTAGAATCTGTCTCTCTCTTTTCCTTTCCTTGCTGAACCTTAGCTATGACCACTATCATTTTCCCTTTATTGGATCCCTTGGTTGTCAAACTAGTTCCCTGTCTATGCTCTCTGCCTATAGTTTCTCCCTACTTCAATCCTTCCTGCCGTCATAGTGAAAATACTCCTGCTTTGTTCAAATAGTATACAAAATTAGTAAACAAGTGTCAAGAAATACGTTCAACTTCTTTAGAAATATTTTATAAACAGGCCAAAATGAAACAGCACTTTTTACCTATAAAACTAGCAAGAATTTAGGAAAGATACACATCAGCAATTTTTTAAAAATATCCAATGTTACTGAGTATCACTTGCACATAGCTAGTAGTGAAGTAGAAAGGCACAACCCTTTAGAAAAACTATTTGGAAATATGCATCAAA